GAGAAAACATGTACAAAACATGTGATTGACAAAGGCTCACACCTATATAAATATAACCTTTCAAAACTCACCATGCTTTTGTTTTTGGTTCTGAGCCACACCTGGCAGTGCTCAGGGACTATTCCGAGCCTGTTTTGGTGGGGTGGAGGGACACAGGGGTGTGGTGTCACTTGCAGCAGTGTGCAGGAAGCACCCGGCGTGGAGTAGGGGCTTCAAGCCTGGTCTCTGCACTCACAGCAGCAAGCAGCCCACGGAGCTCTCTCCGCGCTCCACAGACTTTTCATTAAGTGCACCAGAACACTGTTAACCACTCCTGAATATAAATGTAAGCGTGCTTTCTGAAAGAATAAAGCCGTCTGGTAAAACACAAAACAAACATCCACCACCACCACACACACACACACACACACACACACACACACACACGCCCTCAGCAGTCAAATGAGAAAGTAAGCAAAGACACATAAAGAACTGTTTCATCGAAAAGGTTATATGGACAGCAAATAATTTGGCATTATTGATCATTAGAGAAATGCATGATATCACAATGATAAGCTACCATTTCACATCTCTTGTAACTTTTAAAAAGTACAATACCAAATGTTGGAAACTGGATCTCATATACGTTACTGGGAGAATATGAAACGGTTACCACTCAGTTTCTTTTAGAAGTAAACACACTAGGTCAAGGGGAAGACTCAAAGGGCTGGAGCACATTCTTTGCATGCAGGAGGTTAAAGTTCAACCCTGCGCCACCAGGGGCAACCCCCAAGCAGAGACAGAAACTGCTCAAAAACAGTCAAAATCTAAACACCCTGCACAACCTCCCGGTTGCACGAGGAGGTGCACAGAAAAATCTGTAAATAGGTTATAATAGGCAAGAACTGGAAATAACCAAAACGTCTAATAGGCAAATGGTCAAACAAAATATGATACCACAAAATATGACTTCACAATAAAAAAAGAACACATGATGTCTATACACAAGGGAGTTCAATGGGAATCTCTCTGTAATATCTTTACAACTTTCCTATGAATCTACAATTATATAATTATTTCAAAATAAAGTTTTTAAAAATGCCATCAATTTAAAACCATCTAGAAGTGTGGGATCCATGGTAAAATTTATAAATGTTTATGAATGTATAAATCTGTTTGCAAATTTCAGAGTGATGTTGAAATAGAGGAATTAGAGGGTCATGGTGCAGTAAGGAAAAGCGTTTTCCAATTCCCCCAAATAGTTCAATTAACATTTCATGAGAATGTAGTATAAGCAAGATGTCTGAGTACCAACAGGAGTTAAAGAAAAAAGTAAAACACTTAGTAATTCATTTACTACAAGTATAGGATAATAATTAAGGGTCTCACAGCCTCTGTAGCTGTTCCTAGGGCCGAAGAGATAGTACAGTGGGTAGGGCGCCTGCCGTGCATGTGGCTGACCTGGCTCTGATCCCTGGCAGGTACCATCCCCAGCACCCCATATGTTCCCCTGAGCACCACCTGGAATAACCCCTGAACCTCGCGGGGTATGCCCCCGATAAAAACACAACAAAGCTGCTCCCTCCTCTGAATGCTCTCCTTTTTTTCATGGTATTTCTCAGTTCACTCTGGTATCATTTGTCTCTTTAACTACTACTGTCCATATAAAACAAGGCTCCCCACTACATGCTCAACATTAACACTAATCACCGTACACACACACACACACACACACACACAAACAAAACAGAACAAAAACACAAACTGCATGACAATTTAATATCTATTTCCCCTACTAAACAACTCTAAAAGACAGACAGGTCAATGTAGCTATTTGCAGACCCAGTGCTATGCTTAGCAAGTAACAGAAACTCAAAAACCACAACATGGATAAATCCATACAAAACTGTGATTCCTATGTACAAATGAATGAACAGTAAGAGTTGCTGGGTTTTAGGAAAGATCATTTCAACTTGAACTTTTGGTTCGGTTTTGGTTTGGTTAGGTTGAAGCCCCTTACTTCAACTTGAGAAGTTGATATGGAACAGAAGGTTCATGCAGAAGATAAATAAAGCTTATACCCAAGGGTCAAAGAGATGGTATATGGATAAGGCTCTTGGCCTTGAATGTTGGGGAACTGGGTTTCTCCCCAACACCCCTCAGAGTGTTCAAGTCCACCAAGAGTGATCCCTGAGCACTGCTAGGTGTGGCCCAAGAATAACAACAACAAACACAAAGCTGGATATAAACATCAGTCTTTTTTGGCAATAGGAACACACTAAGGAACTGGAAGTGTGTGCTCACAGCACAGAGAATGGACATGAACTGAGACGGTGAGAAAACAGTCGTGAAAACTGTGAGGATGCTTTGGCAATGCAGGTACCAAATGATACAGTTCTGATTAAGAGGGTGGCCCCTGGAAAGAGAAACACGTGAGAAACATCAATGAAGAGTCCCAGAATGAAAGGGCTGATTAGCTTGACAGGCAGGAAAGAGGTCAAAGAAAAAGACGTTTCCAGAGGTTGGACAATATGTGATCAGTGAAAATAATGCCATTCACAACAACGAATGCGCAAGTTGTCTCAGGGAACTTTGTACTCTAGGAAGAAATCCACAGGCTTGAAGATCCAAGCGCCCTCATTTGAGGAGAGTTCAGCCCGGCAACGCAGTTGGTCATAGTTAAGGTTATGAGGGTGAATGAGTCTCTCAGACTGAGAAGGTACAAAGGCCTTAATTGGAAATTCTTTTAAACCACTTGGGTGGATGAGTAAGGTTTATTAAGCTGTCAGACCTTTCAGGTGGTGAGCGCCCGGAGCGCACGGCGGCTCGCCCCGGGGTACACATTACAGGTTCCATGTATAACTGGTATACAAGAAGTAGACCATTAGAAAAAATTTAAGACAATTTCTAATTAATATTTCCTGTTGCACCTGCACTTCCCAAACATGCCCTAGGTAAGTCTTTAAACAGCACAGTCTGAGGCCAGAGAGGCAGGATAGTGCCTAAGGTGCTTCCTTGCCTTGCATGCAGTCTACCAGGGTGAGGTCCTCGGCACTATAAATGCTCCTCTAAGGCCCACAGGGAGAAAGCCCTGAGCAGGCTGGAGTGACCCCCAAACAAAACAAGCTGTCTTGGCCAAGAGGGAACTCAGAGCAGGAACACTAGCTCTCAGGCAGATGGCCAGGTTGGAGCCCCGGCACTATCGAGGCCCCTGAGACCACAAGATACAACCAACTTCAAGCACTCTGCTGGGAACAGCCCCACCAGGTATGACCCAGAAACCAAAAAATAAATAAATTAAAGGTACAGTGTTCCCTTAAAATTAGTAAAATTTTAAAAAATTGTATAAGCCATTAATTTGGGCAGTTTAACTTATTTAACCACCAGGGTTCTAGTACTGAGGAACAGAGATAACTTGGGGACACTAACTCAATGGCATCCCCTACTGAAAACATATTTTAAAGCAAGGCTCCAATGAGACTAAAGCAACTCTTCAGAAAAAGCAATTACTGAAATAGCAAACTAAGCAGGAAATTACTGAGTGCCATCACACGCACTACTTAAGCTTTCTGACATTGTTAAAAAAAAAAAGCTTTGCGTGAAATAAAGGTTTCAGGAGAAAACTTAACGAGACTTTGAGAATCATCAATATGCATACTTTAAAAAAAAAAAAAGCCTGTTCTCCCACAGGGCATTCCTGGGTATTACAGTTAAAAGATGAAGAAACAGGCTAACCTGATCAATACTTAGGTGAGTATTGGATCCCCCGTTTGCAATTTTAAAAAAAGAAAAAGGACTGCCGAAATAGATCAAAAATAAATTTGCTGACCACACCCCCACACACAATAAAATCATCCAAGTTGCAGAATATCATAGCGCACTAACCCTGAATCATAAGTAAATGCTCCCAGGTGCCCTCGGATAGGTGTGTTTGTGGAGGCAGCCAGGGAAGAGAAAAGAAATGGGTGAGGTCATGCTCGAGAAACTTGACAAGGCGTTTATGACTCTGTAACTCTCTCCATAGTGGACCACTTTCCACAGTGTCTCGAGAACAGGTTCAAGGCAGATTTTGCTTGAGCCTTTCCAACAATCGCTAACAGACCGCAGGCAAACAGCCGAGCAAGACAGCTCCAATCTGTTGCAAAATGTTTCAAAGAGCTCTCCCAGCAACTTTCACCCGGGTCTAGCGGCGCCAGAGCAAAGGGAAGAAAGTCGCCTTGCTGAGATAAAGAAATTAGCACAATCCCCATCACACTCCCAGGTTTGTCTTCTAGGTGTTATCAAAATGGTTCTTTCTTTTGCTTTAAAAAAAATAGCAAAGTGTCTTTCTGTTAGCGAAAGAAGGAGGAGGGGTGGTCGGAGTTAACGGAAAAAGGAAAATGGAAATCCAGCCACGGTTTCCCGGAGCCTGGGGCTCCGACCTCCGGGTCACCGCAGAGAAAAGGGCCCGAAATAAGTGGACCCGCCGAGAGCCGTTGCAACTGCTGTGCAACTCCCGTTGCCAAGACGCAGCCGGTCCAGCCCGCGCCCCGGGTGGGTGGTGGGTGGGGATGGGTGTCGAGGAGCCGAGACGCGATCTGCAAAGCCCCCCGCCCCGGCCGGGCCCCTCGGGGGCGGTGCTCGGGGGCCACGGAGCCTGCGCCCACTCGGGCCAGAGCCGCGCGCGCGGGGGGCGCGGAGCCGAGTGGACGCTTCGCGCCCCGGCCGGTGGCCACCCCGCTGCCCCTCGGGGCGGAGGGGGACGCTGAGAGCTCCCCGCTCGGGAGAAGCGGGATCGCGCGGCTCGGGCGCGTGGGGAAGCTGCTCCGGGCCAAAGTCCAGCGCGTCGGCCGCACGCCCACCGTGCCCGCCTCGCCGGACGCGGCGCCCTGCACCCCGCATCCGCGGGAGCGCCAGCGGCGCGGGGTCCCAGACTACGCCGCCCGCCTCACCCCCCCGCCCCGCAGCCGCCCGCTCCCGCCGGGCCGCGAGCCGAGCCGGGGCGCCCTCGGAGGGCCGGGGCGGCCGGGTCGCGCGCTCACCGAGAGGACGCTCATGCGGATTGGGGTCTCCAGCAGGCACGCCATCTTGCGCCGTCCCACCCCGCTGCAGCGGGCGCCCGCGCGGGGGCCGGCACTTTCGCCAGCGCGCCCCGGGGGGGACCCGCGACGGGCGCGTCCGCGGGCCCACACGCCCGCCCAGGCGAGGCCGCGCCGCCCCCGAGACGCCGCCGAAGCGCGGCCGGGGCCTGTGACACGGGCCGCGCACCGAGAGCCCCGCCGGGGCCCCGCTCGCGAATCGTCCGCGCGGAAACGCCAGCTACTCCGGGCCTAGCGGCGAGGCGGGGAGGGCGGCGGGGTGCGGGGAGAGGGGGCGGAGCGGGGGCGGGGCGCGGGCCGGTCCCCGCATGCGCAGACGCGGCCCGGCGGCCCCACCTGCGGCGCGCGGGGGGCGGAGCCTCGCTGGGCCGCTTCGGGCTTCGCCTGCTGAGTCCCCGAGTCGTTGCTGCTGGAGCGTGTGCGTTTTCGTCTTGGGAGAGAAAAAAAAAAAAAAAATTCCCAGGCCGTGCATCTACACACCAAGTTGAAAGTTCACGTTCTTTAACTCCTTATTTGCGCCGAATGGAAAGCACTTAGCGTCGCTGTGATTTCTTTTTTTTTTCTCCCTAGGTGATCTCGGAAGCACGTCTTCTGCCATCAATAAAAAGGGTTTCGCCATTCAACAACAATTTATCTGCCCAACCCATTGATTCTAGTGTAGTATTAGTGTAGTATTAAAAAAGAGAGAGAAAGATGCTCACGCCTAGGCTTCACCCTTGTTACTTCGCTTTCGCTTTTTTCTTCCTTTTTTCTTTCTTTCCTTCTGACAAGGAGGTTATGGTTCCATTTTTCTCCTCTGGAATAAGGCTTATGGGAATTGGGGCGGAGGGGAATAAGACTCTTAGAATATGCCTGACATGTGGGAAGTGTTTTCGTATGGGCCAGCATTTCTCCAGTCTCTTCATCAAGCAGGAAAGTATGGGGACAAATATCTGAATAATTCACACCCGAATGTGCTCAAAATGTGCTAATCACAGAAGCCAAATAGACTTAGCTCTTTTTTTTTCTTTCTGGTTTAATTTAGTTCTCCTATTCTATTTTATGGTATGTGTGTGTGAGGGGTTGTACACAATGAAACTGACCTGGCCGGTCAGGTTTCACCTTCATGCTACTGGTGATCACTGAAGTTTTAACAGTAACTGTCGCAGTGAGCAAGAGTTAACTTGTCTCCTTTTCATTTCTATAGTCCTTCTTCACATACCGGTTAGTTCCTCCCCCAGTAGCATCACCCTTTCAGCCGGCTTGTGGTCTAGAGCCTCTCCTACACTTGGTTGCCCTCTGCCTTCTTTTCTTCACCCTTTGACGGATTTCTACATTCATGGTAGCATTAATTCTTGCCGCTGGATCTGTGTCTCCTTACAAACCACTGAGTTTCTGGAAAGCAGGACTTCCATTTTAGAATTTTCCATCTGCTACAATTCTATTTCTCAAACGTTCGTGTGCTGCGTATTGCACCCGTGCTCTTTGCTGATCTGCACCTGTGTGATAATATTCACACGACTTTTCTTTTGGGGTGGGGGGGGTGGGGGCTGTGTTTGTTGTTGTTGCTTTATCTATCTACAATACCCCATCAAATCTGTAGATCACTTTTACGGTGGTATAGAGCAATAGAGCAATGTGCATCTGAGCTTACAGCTGAACCACCTCTACAGTCACAGCTGCAAGCAGAAGGGATCCACGCTCCCCACTGACCCTGAGCTTGGTTGAGTAACCCCTTCCTGTTTTCTTTACAGAAGACTGACATGTTGTTTACCAAGAGTCAATATTGATTAGCAACTCCTTAAGTAGGGGGCTCAGGAATCTCATTGATGGCTCCTATTCTGCCCCTCCATAGCCCTAACTATACACTTTCAACCCACATAATGAGAAAAACCTAGAAGTGAATTAAAAAAAATTTTTTTTAGTGAACCTCTGTGAGGTAGACCCTTGCAAATCTGTTCATGGTTAGGTTTCAGTCACAGAGTGTTCCAACACCCATCCCTCCACCAGCGTACATTTCCCAGCACCAGTGTCCCCAGTTTCCCACCCATCAACCGCCAATCCCCACCCTCTGCTTGCCTCTATGGCAGGCAACTTTCTCCTCTCTCTCTCTCTCTCTCTCTCTCTCTCTCTCTCTCTCTCTCTCTCTCTCTCTCTCCATGATGGTTTGCAACACAGATACTGAGAGATTATCAGGTATGTCCCTACTTTTAGCACTCAGTTCTTGTCCGGCATGATCATTTCACCTATTATTGTCATAGTGGTCTCTTCTCTATCTTACCTTCCCTCCCCTCCCACACACGCATATACTTTGTGGTTGATTCCAACCATTGACCAGTCCACCTAGCCTCTGTTTTTCCCTGGCCACAGATATTAGTCTTTATATGTGTATATATATAGTCTTTATATATTTATATATAAAGTATATAAATATATTTATACATTTATATATAAATATATATTTATATATTAGTCTTTATATATACACATACATGCATAATATATTATGTATATATTATGTATACATACATTTATAATATATATATACCACATACATTCATAATGAATTCTCTATCTATCCCTCAGAAGTGAAATTTTATTTAGTCTCCATGTAACAGCAATGATGAAACAGCTTTGGCACTCTTGGTGGGTCCGTAGCCAATGGGAATGAAATTTCTCCCCATCCTACCTTGGCTCTTATCTCAGAGGCATTGTTAATTACTAAAAACAATGGCCACAAAATGTGAGTTTAATTGATGAAAAATATAAACAAAGAACAGAAGCATCTGAAAGTATTTTTAAGGGGATTTGCTTCACAAGCAGCACTCAGAAGACCTGGGGGTCCCTCACACCAACTCTCCCCAACCAGGCTTGCAGGCCAGTGTGAGGGTTTGGGAAGGGGGTGGTTCTCAGGCAGCCAATTGGCTGAGTCACCCCGGTGGTGCTCAGAGTTCCCCAGAACTATACTTAGCAATGTTTAAGGGACTATGTGGCACTGGACATTTAACTGGGCCTATCACATGCTGTTGTCCCAAAATTCCAAACGGGATCAGACCACCGTCTTCTTCGTGCAAAATTCTACCTCACAGAATGAGGAGAAAAGAATGCAAGGTTTAAGAAGAGGACTCCCAGAACAACCACCAACTGGGAACTCTTTGGCTCTGTTGCGGCAACATGGGAAGATGCCGTCATTGACAACATTGATGAGGAATACGATCGAATGATTCAGCACCTCCATGATTGTGCAAGGAATGCCAAGAGAGAGATAACCACAAAAAACCGTCTTTCTTCGAACACTCTTGAACTTATTCGCCAACGTGGCTTGGCACGTGCCTCAGGCAACCACAAGCAAACGTCCGAACTGGCAAAACAGTGCAGAGAAGCCATCAAGGATGACCTCAAAAACAGGAGAGCAGCAGTACTGGTAGATGCAGCAGAAGCTGGGAAAAACATTCGTAATGCCCGCCTGTCCTTCACCAACTACAAAACCAAGATGACTGCCCTCCGACATCATGATGGATCGATCACATCTTCCAGAAGGGCAATGGAGAAGATTATTCATGACTTCTACTCAGATCTCTTTAATAGCCACATCCACTTGCCCACATACCACATACCACATGATGGATATGTCGTTCCCAATGTTCTCCCTTCCGAAATCCAACATGCCATCTCGTCGGTAAAGAAACAAAGAGCACCTGGCCCAGACAAGATCAGACCTGAACACCTGAAGAACTTACCATCAGTACTCATCAATACATTGGCTCGACTCTTCACACGCTACCTGTCTGAATGCAAGGTTCCATCCCAATGGAAAACCAGCAAGACTGTACTACTATACAAGAAAGGAGACATCCACGACATTGGCAACTATTGCCCAATCTGCCTATTGTCTGTCATCTACAAACTATTCACTCGAGTCATCCTGAATAGGATTAGCAGAACACTAGATGAAGGACAACCATGTGAACAAGCTGGATTCCGAAAAGGATTCAGTACCATCAACCATATCCACACAGTAACCAAGCTCATTGAGGTATCTCGGGAGTTCAAGATGCCACTCTGTCTAACGTTCATTGATTTAAAGAAGGCCTTTGATTCTGTTGAGACAGAAGCGGTCATGGAAGCCCTAGCCAATCAGGGCGTACAAACTCAATACATCAGGATCCTCCGTGAGCTCTATTGCGGATTCACTACCAAGATCTCACCATTCTACAAAGAAGTTATCATCCATATCAAGAGAGGGGTTCGGCAGGGTGATACCATTTCACCAAAACTCTTCAGTGCCACCCTCGAGAACATCATGCGACGACTGGAATGGGAAAACATGGGAGTGAAGATAGATGGTCGGCAACTACACCACCTCCGCTTTGCTGATGACATCGTTCTAATAACACCAAACATCAACCAAGCGGCACAAATGCTGAACGACTTTGACCGTGAATGTGGAAAGGTAGGACTACAGCTGAATCTTACAAAGACAATGTTTATGAGAAACAGCCTTGTTCCTGATGCTCCATTTGCTCTCAACGGAACCACCATCTCCGAATGCAACAGTTATATATACCTAGGTCGAGAAATCAACATGATGAATGACCTGGCACCTGAGTTGCGCAGGAGGAAGAGAGCGGCTTGGAATGCCTTCAAGAGCATTGAAGAAATAACTAAAAGGACAAAGAACCTCCAGCTACGAGCACATCTCTTTGATTCCACTATTCTTCCTGCATTAACATATGCCTCAGAGACCTGGACCCTACGAAAACAGGATGAGAATACTATTCGGGTCTCTCAAAGAGGAATCGAAAGAACTATGCTTGGAATATCACGATTCACTCAAATGAGAGATAGAATCCGGAGTTCTGATCTTCGTCAACGCTCAAGAATCAGGGACGCTGTCTCATTTGCCAAGACATCAAAAATCAGATGGGCTGGACACGTAATGAGGTTTACAGACAACCGCTGGACTAGAGCCATTACTGATTGGATTCCACGAGACATCAAAAGATCACGTGGACGCCCACCTATAAGATGGTCAGACTTCTTCGTCAAGACCCTAAATGATCGGTTTGAGGCTCTACATGTTCCTAAAATGAACAGATACCATTGGGCTACGCTAGCACGCAACCGGGATGAATGGAGACGTTACTGGCACCCGCTCGAATAAATCGATGAATAACGGGGATTAAGTGATAAGTGATAAGTGATCACATGCACAGCATACACCTTAAACCCTCTATGATCTCTC